ATAATAGTTTTACATTTGCAGACCAAGTTCAAATACTAACAAAAGTTCTTTATAAACACCAACAGGATAAACCCAGTCATATTGAACTTAGTCCTGTTCGTTTTCAATTAATGATAAAAAATGCTGATTCTTGTTTGTGTGGGTTTTTTGATGAAATGGTTAAAGCTTTAATTCTGAATGAAAGATCTACATATAAAAAAATAGAACCAAGAAAAACAGTAGTTAGCTTTTGTTATATGATAGCCAATATAAGAAACATGTTTGTTAATAGTTTTGAACTTGAAATTGGCTTGTATCTTTCAGCATCCAGAATATCATACGAAGCTATTGATATACTGCATAGCTTGGGTGTAGATAGATAATACTAGCAGCATAAAAACAGTGATAGGCGATATCATCAATACAAATAACAGGTACGCAAGTAACCAAATACAAAGAAAAGGTATCAAAAAAATTTTTTTTATTCAAAAAAACAAATTATATATAAGCTTATACTAATTATCATCATATAAAAAAGCTATACCATGTTTAGAAAATGTTTCAGGCATATGTATACGTAGTAAGAATTAAAAAATCATCTAACATACCCCAATTTCTTAAATGCCTTTAACGCAATTCCATTTTGATAACAAAGGTTAGTATAAAAGCTATACCATGTTTAGAAATATTTTAGGTAAGTACAGTACTTTTTCATAATGATAAAAAAAAATCTCGAATACCCCAATCTTTTCTTGAATACCTTTAGCTTTAATACAATTCTATTTTGATAACAATGGCCAACTTGATTGATTTGTATCGATACCTATCTCTTTTAGCATCAACTCCATTTAGATAACAATATCAAACTTGATTTATTCTAGTATTATTCTTTTATTTTGCCATTACGTGTTTTTTTATCATTATCGGCATTAAAAAAATTCTTAATTCTAATTGGTCAATCATTAAATATATCGTCACATATTACACCACATATATCATCTGACTTTAAATGCTATGAAAACGAATTTTCAAAAGATATGACATATAAATTTTGAAACTACACCTTTTATTCTACCTACAGTAAAAATAATCCGAAAAATGGAGAAATAATCCAGAAGTTAGTGACAGGGTGCACCTTTTGTCTTATAGGTTAAGGTAATTCAGCATTTGGCAAGGTAATTCGTACCTTGGCTAATAAGTGTTAAGCTTTTTTAAAAAAAGCTTGAAAATAGCGATTTAAACAGCAATACTTACGGTTTGTTTTTTTAATAATTTTTTTAAATATAGGTAACTCGATTAAGTTTTTAAAGGTTACAATATATTAGATATAGAGTATATAGAGCATGTGAAGGATATATACGATTATAGCTATGTTCGATAGGTAATGTTCTATAGTTAATGTTTAGTTTTTTATACTGTTCATACTCTCCATGTGCATGTATTACTTTATTGATAGTTTATAGTTTTTTTTTTAATTTATTTATTATTAAACTATGTATGGTTAGTAAGCGATTTGGTTAATAATAATTATTTATATATATATAAGAAATTATTGGTTTAAAGATATTGATTTTTTTATTAAACTTATCCAGATACACATTTGACAATGACTGTCAGAATTAATATATTAAAAATTGTTATTATAAATTCGAATTTACAGTTTAAATCTTTCTTTTTGTTTAATAATTTCACCATGAATGAAATTGTGAATCCAAAATGCTTACCTACAGGTAGGATTATAAATTAAAAAAAAAAAGAAAAAAAAACTCTAACAAACTTTATCTACAGGCTATAGTTCGAATATTTCTTCAAAAACCAACTTGTGCGATCATTGTTATAAATTTTTAAATGATAGTAAAGTCCTAGTTTGTGGGCACGAATATCATTATAGTTGTTATGCAACGATCGAGTACTGCTGCTGCCACTGTAAAGAATACTTTAAAAAAGGCATTTACTCTAATGCTGAAAGTTTTAAAAAATGTTTAGAAAAAGGATCTAATACACTTATCAAAGAAGAAAAACAAGAGCAAGAGAAGGATACGGAGAAAGCTGATGAGGACGACAGTACTGTAGAAGTAAGAGTGGAGAAACCCGACGCTTTTTTACTAGCACTCAATGCTGTTAGTGATTAGTAAAAATTAAAAAATTAGTAAAAATTTAGTGTTATAAAAACCTGGCAAAACATTCGATCCCATTCGATCCCAAGTTTTCAAATACAATAAAAAATACTTATGAATTTGTAGTTTGAATAATAATAAGTAAATCTAACGCATCACGATAGTTATCATATGAGCGAAGTTGCTCAAAAATTGCATTTTTTATAAATTTGGCATAATTTGATTGGCTATCTTTGAAAATCGATGATCGTCACATGGCCAATCAAAATGAATTTCCCTCATGCTAAAGATTCATGATATACATTTTATATTATTGTTTAAATTTTTTATTTTCAAATCCGTGATTTGATTGGCTGATTTTCATATGATTTACATGCAAAAATGTCTAGAATCATTTGATCAGCACTTGTATACCATAAAAGGTGCGATCGATGCTATCTATATTTGGTATATTCTCTGACTGTATAATACATATTAATATATAAATGATATAATTAAAGCAATACAAATCTATAACGATCTCGGGATCCTGTAATTGGATTTTGACG